TTTCCTATTATATATTTTTTCTATCAGCAGATACTAAAATAGAAATAGTTAACCTGTGCTGAGAACTTCCGAGACTTCACAGACATGCTTCTCGTGAGGATGTCCTAGTAGTCATACCCATTTTGCTGATGGGGAACTGAGGCCGAGACAGTGAGGGAACTCGCACAGGATCAGTGTACTACACTGGATTCCAGCCCATGCTCTTGGTTGCTGTGCAGTAGACACAGCTCCCGTCATGTGGAGTCTATGAAATAACAGCAGAAAGGGTTCTTACGGTGGAAAATGTCCAGAAACACTGACTTAACCCCTTCTTGCCCTGGCCGGGTGGCTCGGCTAGTTGGAGCATCGCCCTGTACACCAAAGGTTGTGGGTTCAATTCTTGATCAGAACACATAACAGGAGCAACCAATCAATGTTTCTCACATCGATGTTTCTCTCTCCTCCACCCCTCTTCTTCGATCTCTAAAATCAATAAACATATCTTTGGGTGAGAGTTTAAAAAAAAAACACCTCTTTAATAGAAAAACAGGCCAAGGCGGGTAATGATCTGCCCAGGATCATAGAGCGTCCAGGACACTGGAACTTGCTCCCAGCAAGGACGCCGCAGAGAAGGCATGTAGGCACCTCGGATCCAGCCAGGCAGGTGCCTGCAAACCACATACCATGCGTGGACTGGCCAGACCGCCTGCCGAAGGGCCAGACCCACCCCACACCACTGCCACGGCCAGCCCAGCGGCGGTCGCCTCTTCGAGGCCCCCCACGTTTGTCCAAGGCAGCAGTTCCCCAAGTGGGGTCGGGGAGCCCTGGGGTCCCAGAGACTTTCCAGAAGCTCACAGGGCCAAAATTATTTTCATTATAATGTGTTACTTGCCTTCCGCTCTCGATTTCTTACGGGGTCCAAGAGACTTTGCCCGAGGCGCACGACGCGCAATTGATATTATTTCTCACTGACAGCTCAGGGGATGTGAGTGTGTGTATTCAGACGTTTCAACGTTTTTTCAGTTTTAATTATTGACACAGTAAAGATCAATAGAATAACACACACCAAGAAAAGCTCTGGGGGGGCCTCGTTCGTTTGTGGGAGCACAGAGGGGATCCCGGGACTGAGAGGGCCGTTCTGCGTCGGCCGCAGCGGAGGGGACCAGGGCGGCGCCCCCAGCCCGCCCTGCTCTCCCTGCTCTGCGCTGACCGGCTCTGGCCACGTGCAGCCTACGGGAAAGGCAGAAGCGGGACGGCCTCTTTGAGGGGCGGGAGAGTAAAGCAGAGAGACGCTGGGGGCACAGCAAGCGCCAGTCACCCCAGCCTTGCTCCTCTGCAGCCCTTTCACCGGAGCCAGGACGCAGCTGCGGCCGAGGGAGTTTTCACGGGGATTTTCCAGAATGTCCAGTGAAGCAAGCCAGCTCCTCCCAGCATGCCCAGAGTGCTCGATGCAGTTGCCGGAAAGGAAACAGTAACCATGAACCCACAGGCCAGGGTAGCGTGCTGGCGAGAAAGCCCATGAACGGCTTGTCCTGTCACCTTCCCGTCGACCACAGGCTTGGGGGTGGTGAGTAGGCCAAGGAGAAAGGTCTGAAGAGGTCAGTTTGGGAGTTGGCAGGGCCTCGTTTGTGGACAACTGGGCACCAGCCACCACTGCAGAATCAGAGGAACAACCTTGACCCTGGAGGATTTCTGTACGTTGAGAATATTAATCAGAGTTCGGTTCAGGAAACAGACAGAAACCACCCTAGGTACTTGAAGCAGGAAGGGTTTAATGCAGGGAATTGGACACCAACAGAATCATGGGAACAACTCAAGGAGCAGGTTCCAGGCTGAGCCTCTGGGAGTGACTCCAAGGACAACAGAGAACTCGTCCATGGTGGGGGAAGGGGCTGCTCTCCGAACCAGTTCAGGATGGAAGCTGGAATCAAGAAGTCTTTGCTGTTGCCTTGGCTGGTCTGGCTCAGTGGTTAGAGCGTTGGCCCTCAGATCAAAGGGTCCTGGGTTCAATTCCTGATCAAGGGCACATACCTGGATTGCAGGTTTGATCCCCGGCTCCAGCTGGGGTGGTGCAGGAGGCAACCACCCGATGTGCATGTCTCTCTCTCTCCCCCTCCCTCCCATAATCTTATCTAAAAATCAATGGAAAAAAATATCCTTGGGTGAGGATTTAAAAAAAGAAGTTTTTGCTGTTGTTCTCAGTAGTACACCTGGGCCTCCGGAGCACCCAGGAAGGTGGGAGATGGACACTGGGATGCTCTATAGGGAAGAAAGACCTCATATCGCATGACCTGGCGTAGCAAAGTAGGCAGAGGGGCATGAAGACAGACTCTGCCTCCTCTCCATTTACCAGATCTCATGCTGCTACATCTTAACAATGAAGCTAGTTTTGTATCCAGAACCCCAGCTGCAAAGGAGTCTGGGAAATGTAGTTTTCAACTTTTCCAGGTCTCCAACAAAGATGGTGAAATAGAGACCAAGTGAGCCAGTCCCCAGGGTCTGCCCACCGAGGTTATCAATACTGAATTTTCTTCATGTGCCAGATGGTAAGAGGCACAAAACAGAGTGCGTCACAACACCATCTGATTTGACTTCATAATTTCTAAGTTCCTGCTTGGACTCCCCCAGTGCGGCTGGGAGATGCCACCTGGGTGGCTGCACTGGGGCTTTGCCTTGGCCGGTGGCCACAGCAGGGGAGAGTGGCTGGCAGATCCACAGACTCCTTGTTTACACTTCGCTCTGCAACCTTCCCCTGGATGAAGAGGACTGAGATACAGCAGTGGGTCTGAGCCAGCCGCCTAGCATCGTCGTGTAAGAATGATAAAACCTGAAGTATTTGGGGGGAATTCAGATGAGCGCTTGTAATCAAGAAAGATCTCGTAAACAGGGCGAATTCACAAATGGGCTGTGGGCCCTTTCCAGAATCCACACCTTCCCCCGTGGATTCCTGGCTTCCCACTCTTTAACGCGTGAACACCGCACCCTCGAAAATTATATACCCTTCTTTTCTGGGCGGAAACAGGGCTTGGCCCGGAACCGAAAACTTGGAGGTGTTATACAGAGTCCCTGATGCTCAGCCATACCTTAGTCATTCGGCAAGTGTTTACTGAGGACCTGTTGTGTGTGGGCCCGTGCTGGGCACGGTTTGGAGAAAGCAGAGAGGAGGAAGGCGTTTTCCCCGAGGCAGGATAGACCAGTCAGGAAGAGTGGCATTCATTGTTAGAAGAGAGTTCTAAGGGAGGTGGGAGCAGGAAGAGGTTATTTTCTTTGGAGAGAGGGGACTTAGGGAGGTTTCTGGAGCTGAGCCTTGAAGGATACATGTACCTGGCTGGGCAGAGCTGAGTGCTGGTTTGTGCTCATGAGGAGGTGGGCATGATGAGGGTGTGCCCAGTGTCCTGGTGAAAGGGCAGAGCCAGGGCTGGAAAGCACGTTGGAGTGAGGCCCTGGGCATCCTTGAAGGCCATGCTGGGCCAGGTTCTCCCAGCCCCTGGCCTCCTCACCACACCGATCAATATACTCCGTGCACCAGTGAATGACTCAGACCCAGATATATTGTCTGAAATGACAGACTCAGAACATCAGAATAACTTTCAAATGAGCTGCCTTCCAGATCCCATCCGATTATTTTGTTTGAAACGTAAATGAAAGCACCTTTCGCCCTCCAGGAGAGAAGCTTTTAAAACTTGGAAGATGACCTGGGCTCTGGGATCTGGGCTCTGGGATCTGAGGGCATCTGGGGATGCCCTGCAGCTGCTTGACGTCGTGGCTGAGGAGAACAAATGGAGGTCCTGTTCCTGCCAGAGCCTCCCTGCACATCCAGGGGGAACTGGGGTGACAGCAGTGCTCAAGGAGCCCCACCTATCAGAGGGACGCACATGCAGGGGCCTGGCTGTTCACAAGGGAGGACGGAAGGCAGGCCTCGGGAGAGCCGGGAGTACAGAGCAGAGGCCGACTCTGGGCCTGTCGTTGGAGAGAACAGCCACAAGGGCTGGCCCGGCCTTGTGACCCGGCAGGGAAAAGCTCCGTCTATTCTGGGTAGAGCATGCTGGGTGGCTATCCAGTCATAGGGCCATTGGAGGTCTTCACCATGGGAGACTTGTCAGGACCCCTAGAAGACAGGAGGAAACCTCTCCTCAGCAGTGGGCAGGCCCCACCTCTCCTGGTGGGTGGGGGAGGGAGGGCGCTGAGTGGCAGAGCCCATGTGTTGCTCAACCCCCGGGGGCACCAGTCCCGGTCCATGGGACTGGTGCCCCTGGTGATGGGACAGAATACCTGTGAACGATGCCCCCTGGAGTCTGCAGTTCAATGGCTTTGATGAACTGCCTGTCCCTGCTCCCCTCCAGTGCCCACGTCGTGGCCATAGGATCTGTGTTGCACAGGCCACCTTGACCATTGCTCCTGGAGGACTTGGAGCGAGCCCAGGCCGGGGCAGCCTGGCCTGCCATGGGACATAGTTACTGTAGGGCCCACCTGAGCCCAGGCTCTGGTTGAGGAAGGAATGACCATCGACGACGCACACATAGTGGGACGTGTCATCTCCGTTGCCCTGGTGACAACCCCCAGGTTAAGTAGGCCTTCACCTGTCCAGATGGAGGAAGCAGGCTCGGGGTGTTTGTGGTAAGGAAGGAAGCAGCTCCTAATGGTGAAGCTGGGCTCACAGCCTGGGTCTGTCGGGTTCTCCTTTGCACCCCGCTGTTCGAGGCTATCCCTCCCCCCTGCAGAGGCAGACCCTGTGTGAATTCTTTGGGGCAGGAGCCTCCTACTTACACGTTGGCAAACCCCGTCTCTCACTGGCCACCCCCCAGGGTCAGCTCCTTGCCCATGACAGTTTCTATGGAATGGGACACACTGGAGTTTCTGTGAGGGGGAGGATCAGGTCCCCTCCACCTCTCACAGCCTGAGGGTACAGGCTGGCCAGCCTCGATGGCCGTTCTCCAAGAGTGTGTGCTGAAGGGGGCCCCTCCGCCCTTCTGGGAGCACCCTGCCTGGGCCTGACACCCCCTCTCTCTGCTGCCTCACAGGCCCTTCATGCTGCTGCCACCACTGATGGAGTGGATGCGCGTGGCCATCACCTATGCAGAACACCGCCGCAGCCTCACCGTGGACAGCGGCGACATCCGGCAGGCGGCCCGGCTGCTGCTGCCCGGCCTGGACTGCGAGCCCCGGCAGCTCAAGTACGGGATCAGGAGGAGCGAGGCGGGAGGGCCCGGTGCCTGTGCCTGCCCCTGGCCACCCCCGTCCCTCCTGCTGCTGGAGGTGGGGAGGGGCCGCGAGCAGGCTCGCAGCTGGGTCCATGTGGCCCAGGCCTGGGCTCTTATTTCCTTCCCAATGTGCCTCTCCTGGATTGGTCTCCTGCAGGAGCGGCGGAGAAGGTTCCTTCCGGCCATCCGTGGCCTGTGAGAACCTTGCGTCTTTTTTGTTTTGTTTTTGACCTGCCCAAACCCTAGTTACGGCCTCCTCTGTTTTCATGGCAAATGCCCGAATCTCCTTCTAGAACATAAACGTTCTACACTTCGGCTTAACCAAAGCTCCAGGTTGAAGCTGCCTGTTGGCAGCCTGCATGCCCTCTGTAGATGCTGGGTTTTCTGTGAATGTCCTTAGTGGGACGGCTTGGTGGCAAGGGGCTCTCCGCCATTTCTTCAGTGCATCTGGGCCTCGCCAAGAAGCCTTGAGGGGAGGCCGAGAGTGGCCTTCTCTGTGCAGAAAGTGTTCCTCCAAGCTCTGTGCCCAAGCCCAGGCCAGGGCTTCCTCCTCGGCAGTCCCGATAGATCAGGTCAGAGGGGACTTTGTTTCCTGGCAGTTGACAGTTACCCAGAGCTCAGAGCACTTCTTTAACACGTTTATAGAACAACAGAATTGTGTGTCCTTCGTGTCACTGAGCTTGACAAGCCAGTCCCTGGTGGTTGAATGGTAGCTCCCAGCCCTTCCCGCCTGCCGTCTGCGTGCCACACGCCCCCGGCACGACGGTCCCGTCTCGTTGAGGGGCGGAGTCCCAGCGGAGTCCACACGCGGTCTCACTCACATCCGGGTCTTTCCTGCACAGACCCGAATGCTGTTTCAGTTCCTTCCGGAGGCTGGATGCCCGAGCTGCTACTGAAAAGTTCAACCAGGACCTGGGTTTCCGCATGCTCAACTGTGGGAGGACGGACCTCATCAACCAGGCGATCGAGGCCCTGGGCCCGGACGGGGTTAACACCATGGACGACCAGGTGCGTTCTGAGAGCCGGGCAGAGGAGTCCGTGGGGGGCGTGCGTGCCGGAGGTGGTGGCACCGTTCTGTATGCCCCAGACCTGAGAGCCCCTCAGCTCTGTGCAGTAAGCAGTGGGCCGCCTCCGGAATCGTACCCTGCCGGCGTGAGGTGGGGTGTCAGCTTGGAGACACCCCAGCAACCTTTGGAAAAACTTTGTGATGGGCATTCTGTTTCCTGTCCCTGGGAGCTGGAGACTGTCACAGGGGGTGCAGGGCTGGGAACGGGCAGAGGGGTCCACTTGATGGCAAGCTGGGCACACTGCCAGCCAGAGCTGGTGAGAGAGCACCTTGCATTGCCCACTGTGCGCCAGGCCCATAGAAATCCTTGCCTTCACTGCGTTCACGTTCTCGTGGGGGAAATCTGTAATAATATAAACAGGTAAAATACAGAGTATTAGTAGGAAGTGCTAAAAAGGGAAAATGAAGCCAGAAAAGGGAGTAGTTACAATTTTGGATAGAATTTAACTTGAGTTCTTGGTTTGCTTTGTTTTGTGTTCTTGCTGTGAATAACACTTACATAGCACTTCCTATGTTCAAGGCATTGCTCTGAGCACTTTGCACCGATTAACTCATTTGGCCTGAAAACAGGGCTATGATGTAGGTACTGTTGTTCTTCCCATTTTACTGATGAGGAAACTGAGGCACAGAGGCGTGGCCTAACCCCAGGTCGCACAACGAGGAAGAAGCAGAGCTGGGACCAGAAGGCCCTGTGCAGTGGGGCTCCCTGCTCTTGACCACTTGGGAATATCCAGCTGGTTTATTAGACGCCACGTTGTAATCACGTGCAGTGCGGACAGGGACACTGGGTGGACGGCCGCCCAGGGGCACGGCAAAGTGAAGTGGCAGCCAGGGTCCGGTACTGCTCTTGGATGAGGTGACGGCATGGCACAGGGCTAACGAGGCTGAAGTGGACTTGGACAGGTGGGCCGGAGCGGCCCCGGAAGGCCTCCTCCTGGGGCTTGAGCCAGGCCTGAGGGAGGGAGGACAGCACTCCAGGGAGGGCGACGATGGGAGCAAGAGCGTGCCGGTGGGATGTAGGTGCACATGCTGGGACAGGAGGACCCTGAGGGCGGGGACAGGGCAGCGGGGAGGTGACGGGCTGGTGTCAGCCCTCCGAGGCTCCTCTGTGAACGCAGCACCAGGGCTTCGTCAGAGCTCGTCCTGGGAGCCGTCCTCCTCCTGGGACCCGGGGCCTGCAGCCTCAGACGCAGCTGGGTTCCAGCGGCCATGTGGTAGCCGTGGCATCCCGGCCCCTCTCGGAGCCTGTTTCTTCACCTCCGACCTGGGGGAGTAGTGCCTGCCCCATAGGCTGTGGGGGCTCGGCCTCTGGCACATGCTAAGTGCTCAATGAATCGTCATCCGTGTCCATGTGGTGATGACGGTGATTACCCCTGAAGTCCGTTGGCCTCCTCGCAGTCCCGAGTACAACGGGCCTGGCACACACCAGCTCCTCCTCACAGGCCTCTCGCTGCTTTAAGCTCCAAATCGTGTGCAGATGTGTGCAGATGTGTGCAGAGACAGGCATGGCGGGGGCACAGCCAAAGGCCGCGCTGTGGCGGTCGGCTTCTCTCTAAATGCCCAGCCCTGTTCGTCCCCTCGGCGTTGGCATTTATACGGGGACCTGTGGGTAAGCAGCCCTCCCGCCCATGATTGATCTCGGGCCATTTCTTTATCTCTGGGCATGAGGCAAGGATTTATGAGGTAAGGAGATCTTGTCCACACACAAATAACCTCATAAATAACCGCGCGGGCTCGACGAGCGCCTGCCAGGATCCAGCTGGGGAACAACTCTTCCCACCGCAGCCTTCGCTGCTACTGGCCCCGGAGACAGCGTCCGGCCAGGAGGCAGCCGTCCGCCACCCTCCTGAGCGCGGGGGCACTGGGCCCAGCTCTCCGCGCTTCTCGGTAGCAGGAACCGCGACAGTGAAGCTGTCCACCTTCCGCGGGGTGGGCTCCACAGCCCGTGGGCCTGGGTTTGGTCCGACTTCTACTGCTCGTTGTGAGGCCAGGGCAAGTGAACCCCCTCTCTGCGCAATGCTCCTCATCTGTGCGATGGGGGTGATCGCAGGGCCTCCCTCCTAGGGGTGTTAGGGCGATTAACTGAGATAATGCCTGTGAACCACTTCGGTGACCTACGTGCCCTGGATGGTTGGGACACGGCAGTGCAATATAGCAGCAGCCACGGCACTATTTTAATTACTTAGCTCGGTCAAGGTAAGTTTTCTCTGTCCTGAGCACCGTAAGCACCGTTACTCACACTCTTTACAACAACCCTGTGCGGTAGATACGGTTGCTGTTCCCATTCTAAAGATGAAGAAACCGAGGCCCAGAGAGGTGCACGTTACTTTATACCAAGTGTACAGCCCCCATGACAGAGATGGCCTTGCACCCCAATCTGGCTACACGCCTGCGCTGCTCCCCCCCCCCCCCGGCGTCCTGCAGTGCTCGGGGACACGTCCCCCTCACTTCAGGTGCAGGACTGCTCTGGATGAGTGGCGGGGGTAGGGGCACACTCGGATCCGCGATTTCCGGGGCAGAGGCCTGTGGAATGTGTGTCCTCATGTTCTGCGTCGACAGTTGACATCTGCCTTTGGTCCATGCAGGGGATGACGCCACTGATGTACGCCTGTGCTGCTGGGGACGAAGCAATGGTCCAGATGTTGATTGATGCCGGAGCGAACTTGGACATCCAGGTGCGTAAGCCCCACGGAGCCGCACCTGGGCCCCTCCCCATCGAGAGGACACCCCAGGGTCTCTGCCAGCCATGCTGCACGCGGGGTGCAGTGTTTTGAACAACAGATGCATGGAGATCACCGTTAGCAGAGATTTGGGCTTTCTGAGAGGGGGTGTGCTGGGGGTGGTGGTGGAAAGAACGGCCATGATTCTGCTACTGAAGCACCTTTTGCCTTTTACCAACCTGACCCCCAGCCACCCCTACCATCCCCAAGGCTTCTAGCTCTGCTTCCCCGAAGGCGGAAAGTGCCCCCTCCGCCCAGGGCAGACATGACTAATTGAACATCCTTTTGAGCCTGTCACGTGGTGCTCCCGGCAGACATGGCCAATGGAACGCGGAAAGTGCCCGAGCTGATTCCTAGTCACCGTGCCTGCAGGGTGCCCCTTCGCTCACTCAGTGGCCTGCGTGCCCTGCCCAGGAATGTCACTGACCCGGGAACCCTGACCGTCTGTGGTACTTCCCCAGGTTCCAAGCAGCTCTCCCAGGCACCCCTCCACGCACCCCGACAGCCGGCACTGGACCGCGCTGACGTTTGCTGTGCTGCACGGACACATCTCCGTGGTTCAGGTGAGCTCGGGCCGGTGCGCAGTGTCCTCCGCCTGCCGGGCCGGCCGGGCCCCGCACACAGCCCCAGCCTCAGTGAGTGGGCCGCTGCCTCCGATCGAGCTGGGCAGAGGCCCTCCTGGCTTGTCTCAGGGGAGGGCTTCAGTGTGGGCTTAGGTGTGGGATTTCAGGAACAAGCCCCAGGTCCAGGCGGCCGGGCCTGCCTGCGGGGTGTCTCGCGGGCCTGCCGCAATCTGTGCGGGCGCAGTGCTCTCCCGACCACCCTTCCGGCCCTTGCTTTCCCCACTCCCTCCCGAGCTCCCCGCGGCCGCCTCTGTCCTGGGCCTCCCCTCCCCACTGACAGCACGCCCCCATCCCTGAGGTGCGACTCGGCGGGCACAGCTCAGCTGTCGAGCCAGCCGAGCCATTGCTGGCACCGTGGCCGGGCAGCTGTGGCTGGTTTAGGCCCAGAAGCGGGAGCTGTGGGCAGAGCAGCATCCAGCCCCGGCCGAGGCACCGGCCACATTGCCGCTGCCTCCCAGACTCCTCGGTTCCTCAGGCCACTGGGACCGACTGACGGACACTCCTTCCCGGGAGTTCATGTAGCGTCCTCGCTGTGCACGGGGATAAGCCCTCTGAGGGCAGGGTCCGGTCTGGCTCATTATCACCATCACAGCCCTGGCCTGTGGCAGGGACTCAGTGAGCGGTGGTGACCAGGCCGGCCGCCACATCCTGCCCTCCTAAGGCTCTGAGCAAAGTTCAACCGAGCCCAGACTGCTGCGGGCATGCGCCCCAGACGGGCCTGGTCTGGTGCCCAGTTTCACCTTGATGGGCAGCCCTCCGCCGCCGCCTTGGTTACTGGCTCCCACGGTGGGGCCCTGACTGGCTTCTGACAATAGTCTCCAGCTGACAGCACCCCCTGCTCCCCACACACTGGAGTGGAGCTCAGAGGTCAGCCTGGCCCCACACCTGGTCTCCAGGTGAGGGGCAGGTGGGGTTTCCCCGAGATTGCCAGACACAGGCTCTGAGGAGGGTTTGGTCTCCAGAAACCTGGGAGGGATGGAAGGTGGCTCCCTCCAGAGCAGCCGGTCGGGAAAGGTGAGACGGAGCCGAAAGTCACCTGGCAGAGCAGGGCAGACGCCACCCCTGCCCCAAGGCCCAGCTGGCCCAGCTCCGCTGGAACTGCCTGGTATCTGTTAACCCGTGTGTCCCCTGGCAAGGCCTGCCCCTGCCAGGCACCAAGCTGTGCCAGAGCCGCCAGCTCCCAGCTTTGGGTAGCTCACTGACCCTCTGACGAGAACCCTAAAAGCCACTAGTTACTGAGCCCCTGTGGAGAGGTTCATACCATTTCACTGAATCCCCAACAATGCTACGAGGCAGTCCTCTCCCCATTTTCGGATGAGGAAGACTGAGGCTCGGAGTTGAGGTGCCGGCCCCACGTGGCTCACTGGCCGTGTGGCCTGCATTAGCCCTCAGCTCCAACACCTGTGCCTTCCCCAGCACCTCTGCTGCCTCCCCGCGCCTCAGTTTCCCCAGCAGACTGGAGGAGAGGCTGAGGAAGGCCGCTGCAGGGGTGGCCCGGAGGCCCACAGCTTGGGGCGGGGCCCACGGCCACAGAGCGAAGGAAGGACTCTAGAAGCCTGGGGCCTGAGGGGAGCCTGGGGTTCTGCAGTTCTGGTTCCCTGGGTGAGCCAGGTCAAGTCCGTCCCCCCAGCCTCCTGGTGCACCCCCCAGTCCCCGCATGCTCACGTGTCCTGTGCCCCGACAGCTGCTGCTGGATGCCGGCGCCCACGTGGAGGGCGCGGCGGTGAGCGGCGGGGAGGACAGCTACACGGAGACGCCCCTGCAGCTCGCCTCTGCGGCTGGTAGGTGCAGGGCTGCCCTGCCCGGCGAGGGTCCCCGGCTGCCCTCGGCTTCACCTGGCCCTCCCCACTGCGGCACCCACCTGGAGTGACATTTGGCCTTGACACCCCCCCCCCGGGCCTCTGGGGACCCCTCTGGCCCCACCCACCCGCGTTCTGCCCAGCGCGGTGCCCAGGCAGGCCCGGCGGAGGGGCACGTAGTGGACGGGAACATCCTCAGTCCACCTTGTCTTTCAGGGAACTACGAGCTGGTCAGCTTGTTGCTGAGCCGAGGCGCTGACCCCCTCCTCAGCATGCTCGAGGCCAACGGCATGGCCTCCTCCCTCCATGAGGACATGAACTGCTTCAGCCACTCCGCCGCCCACGGCCACAGGTACCGCCGGGGCTCCTGCCCCTGACGTGGGGGCAGCAGACAGGTCTCGGGATCCCCAGCGGGGAGCAGGAGAGCTTGGCTGGGAATCTTTCCGGACGTGGGTGGGGGCTGCAGAGGGGCAGGGCCCAGAGACGCTGGGTGGCGGCACGGAGAGGCCCCACAGCCGGTCCCCAGCAGACCCGGACTGGAGCCTGGGCTCCTGACCCCCAGGGCCGGCCCCCCGTTTCCCATAAGACTCTGCCCTGCAGCTGCGGGGGGCCCCTCCGGGCCAGGTCCCTTCCATGCGGTGTTCTCGGGAGCCGCAGCGCTCCAGACGCTTCCACACAGCATATGGCTCGGCCACGAGAGGCCGGCAGCTCTGTGGGAACCCCGGCCTGCTCCAGGAGCAGATGGTGGGCCTTGCCGGGGGCCAGGCCTGCCCAGGGGTGTGATGGGGCAGCAGCAGGCTGAGACCAGAGCCATGGGGCAGCTCGGGGGGACAGAGGGAGACAGAAAGGGGGTTATTAGAAGGCAGAGAAGGGCAGGTGGACCCTACTTCCCGTTCCAAACACTGTTCTCAAAGCCGGACTGTGCCCGTGCTGTGGGCCCCTCCCCAGAAGGCTTTCCTCTATACCTTCTGCTGACCGGTCCCCACTCTCCCACCTCGACGGGCCTTGCCTCCAGCTACCACCGGGCACTGCGGCCTCTCTCCACCCAGCGCCCATGTCCCCCTGCAGCCTCCTCACCCTGCGTGGAGATGGCTGTCTGCTCCCGGTTCTCACCCTCTGGAGTGACCCGGGTCCTGCGGGAGGTCTCTGGGCCATGAGCTTAGCTGCCTGGCGCAGCCGGGCCTCTATCAGGGAAGGAAGGGGTGTGAGGAGGGGGCTGGGCAGGTGCTGGGAAGAGGGTCAGCCCCCTGGCGAACTTGGGGGCTGCCCGTGCCTCAGCCCCCTGAGTCCCAAGCCACAGGATGACAGACAGGGCCTGGGCTGACTCCTGCCCAGCGGGACCCTAAGTTGTATCCGTCACCCGTGACCGGCAGTGTTCATGGGCTCTCACGGGGTCAGGTGTAGCGTTCCACACGTTCACGTGTGTGGCGAGTTCTGTGACGTTGTCACGTTCTGAAGGGATCAGCAGGGGCAGGGCCAGGCTCAGGCACTTTGCAGTGAGAGCCGGGCGCTCAGGACTGCTCGAGGCGTCACGGGGAGGGGAGCCGCCCGTGTTCTCCAGACAAGCACCCGGGGCTCACAGTGGAGCCGCCTGTCTGAGAACACAGGGTGGCAGAGCCCGCCTGGCCCGAGCCGCGACTTCGCTGCCGTCCCCGGATGGCAGAAGGGCAAGGTCTCCGGCACCCTCCCCGCCTCGCCCAGGCCCCTGCCAAGCCCCTGGCTGGGGAAGACCATGAGCACTTGGTGCCCGCAGGTGTCCCAGCAGGCCGCGGGGCACTGGAAGGCAGCGCAGCGGACACAGCCCTGGCGGGGACCTCAGGCAGCACCCCCTCTGCCCCTCGGCCCGCAGGAACGTCCTGAGGAAGCTGCTGACGCAGCCGCAGCAGGCCAAAGCGGACGTGCTGTCCCTGGAGGAGATCCTGGCCGAGGGTGTGGAGGAGAGCGACGCGTCCAGCCAGGGCAGCGGCAGCGAGGGGCCTGTGCGGCTGAGCCGGACCCGCACGAAGGCTCTGCAGGAGGCCATGTACTACAGCGCGGAACACGGCTACGTGGACATCACCATGGAGCTGAGGGCCCTGGGTGAGGCCACAGGGCGCGTGTCCACGCACACAGGCGTGTGTTCTGCTCTTCAGCGCGCCAGGGGGCCGGGCACACAGGCCTCGGAGCAGGCCTGGGGGTGGATGGCCAGGGCGGAGCTGCCGAGCCTCAGGCCGTTCCTCGGCAGGGACTGTTCAGCTCAGGGCCCCAGCCCTCCACCCTCCCTGATCATGGCTCTGGGCAGTGTAGCGCTGTCTGTCGTAGGAGGAGTCAACATGTCTGGTCGGCTAGATCCGCTCCTGTCCCTCGGCCAGCCTTTCACTCCTTAGGTGTGTGGACTTCCCCCACCCCGGGGAGGCTGGTCACAGGCAGGCCTGGGTGAGATGCCAGCCGTCCACGTTAGCGAGCGCTGATGATCTCGCCTGAGGGGGACGTCGGGACAGGAAGCACAGGGCCCGGTGCCCGCTCACCTGAGCACGCGCAGGGCCACACACCCCGGCGCCGGAGCGAGAGAGCAGGGGCCACTCCGGCTTCTCCTGTTTCCACCTCCCACATTCTGCCCTGAAAAGGCTTCTGAAAAAGCACTAAGCCACTACAGGGGGGTATCAGCCTGACGCCGCAGTGGCCTCGGGACATCGCGGCCCTCGCAGTAGTTCGCCTTGCTCGCAGCCGCTGGCCCTCCGGGGAGCTGGGAACAGCAGTGTGACGCTCACGGACACCGCGACCTGGGCGCCCCAGAGCCGTGTGATCGGACAGGGTGTATCAGGCTCCTAGACAGGCGTGGGGCCCATGTCCTGCTTGTAATTAATGGGTCTTCCCCAGTAGGTAATTCCAGGCCCAGCAAGCAGGGGCCAGGGCGGCCCCAGGCGGAGCCGGCGGCTTTAGAGCCGGGCGCCAGCACTTGGGCTGCAGCCGTTCCTCCCCTCGTCGGAGGCCCTGGAGGCCCCTGACCGCCCGGGGGGCCTGGAGGCCCCTGACCGCCCGGGGGGCCTGTCGGGGAGCCGATGCTCTCCTCCCATGGCTATGCCGAGGGGGTACTCAGCATGCAGGGATGGGGTGCAGGCGCGGGCGGGGTGGGAGGGGTGCTGAGAGCGCCTGCCAGGAGACGGGGTCCGGGTGGGATGGGCCCGGGTCTGTGCAGGGCGGGCCTGCGAGGCCTGACTGCCCCCCTCCCGGCCCAGGCGTCCCCTGGAAGCTGCACGTCTGGATCGAGTCCCTGCGGACCTCCTTCTCCCAGTCGCGCTACTCGGTGGTGCAGAGCCTGCTGCGGGACTTCGGCTCCATCAAGGAGGAGGAGTACAACGAGGAGCTGGTGACCGAGGGCTTGCAGCTCATGTTCAACATCCTCAAGACGAGCAAGGTGAGTGCTGCCGGCGAGTTCCCGCCCAAGCCCCAGAGCCCCGCGTCCCAGAGCCTGCAGACCTGCCCCGGGCCATGAGACAGACGCACAGGTAGACAGACGCGAGGACACCCCCACACAGACGGTGACACAGGTACCCTCGCGCACAGGCTTGCACCGCCTGGCCGCAGAGGGCAGAGGCCGTGCATCTGTCTGGACTGGAGCCTGGCCATAAAAGCAATTTGGAGACTCAGTGGTGAAGGAACAGGCATCTCTTGCCAAGGCAGATCCAGGAGGAACAAAGACAGAGCAGCTCGAATCCTGGCCTGGACTTTTGAAATCAGCCTGACGTATCTTCAGCTGCAAACAGACGGCCACAGCAGGCGGGCTAACAGCCTCTGCTTCTCGCCCACAGAACGACTCGGTCATCCAGCAGCTGGCTGCCATCTTCACGCACTGCTACGGCAGCAGCCCCATCCCCAGCATCCCCGAGATCCGGAAGACCCTGCCGGCCAGACTAGGTGCCAGCCTCCCTGCCTGCGGCCACCTGCCTCGTGGGCTTCCAGATCCCCCCCCCTCGCCCTCCCGCCCTCCCCTCGCCTGTTCCCCTTTCCCCTTTCCAGTGCCAGGGCCCTGGTCTGTTCCTCTGTTCCTCCCCTTCCTGTCCCCCGGCCCACTCCCCCCCAGGTGGCTCCTCCGTCATTTCCCTTCGTTCTTCCCTTTCGGTACAGATCCTCACTTTTTGAACAACAAGGAGATGTCAGATGTGACCTTCCTAGTGGAAGGAAAGCTGTTTTATGCCCATAAAGTCCTGCTGGTGACAGCTTCAAACAGGTAGGTGCCAGCCTCCCGGTGACAGGTGTGCTGAGAACAGGCGGGGCCACGCCTGCAGCCTCTGCCCCTTGGAAGGCAGCACATGGCAACAGAGCCCCAACCCTCACTGGGCACATCACACAGCAACAGAGCCCTTGACCCCCACCGGGGGCACGAGCCAGGGGGACAGAAGGGATGGGACCCCGAGTTCTCCAGGAGCACTGAGATTCTGGTCAAGTTTTTGCTCTTGATGATCAGAAAACAAAGTTTCTGGAAGGAGAAGCGTCAGTTTTCCGGCCACAGGGGTCATGGTCATTCAGCTGGGGGCGGGGGTCAGGACAGGGTTGGCCCGGCTGACAGCCTGGGGTGCTGGGACACGTCACTCACTGAGAATTATTTCGGGAGCGTGGCAGTCATTTGTAAGTCCCTCCGCCTCCCGGTGCCAGTCGGGTGATGGATGGTGCCGTCACGCGCGGCAACGGAGTCGGTCACGGTAAAGACCTGCCTGCTCCGTCTCCTTGCCGCAGGTTCAAGACGCTGATGACCAATAAATCAGAGCAAGATGGCGACAGCAGCAAAACCATTGAGATCAGCGACATGAAGTACCACATCTTTCAGGTGTGTGGATGCAGTGCTGCACGCTCTTGGGGGGATGCCTTCTCCCCCAGGAGCCGGTACGTCTGGGCCGCGGGTGCAGAGTCGGTCACGGTCTCCCCCTCCGTCCGCAGGCCCTTGCTCTGCGGCAGCAGTGGTGAGGGTTGGAGCGGTGGGGTTGGAGCTTCGGAGCCTGTCTCACAGGTCGTGAGCTCTAACCCCTGGACGAGGCGTCTGGGCAAACGGACAGACGTGTAAGGACAGGCAGACGCCACCCTTGTGCGTGAGCTCCCGCAGCACGGGCACTGCCCGAGCGCCTGTTGGACCCCCGAGGTGGGTGGTGTGCCCCCCCAGGTGGACACACTGGCCACGGCTGCACCAGCCTCCCGGGTCGCGCCAGCCAAGCAGAAAAGGCCGTGCCGATTCCTTCCTGGTTGTGGAAGAGCAGGGTCAGGTCCTTTGATCTGCTTTGGAGAATATTGGAGGTTACGTAATGGAAACTCCACAGGCTGGCTGCCAGTCGTGGCCGACGAGGTCTGGAGGAGAAGGCTGGGACCGCAGCCGCACCCCAGCTGAGGGCTCCTTTCTGCAAAGTGGCAACTCGAGGTCTCTAGGCTGTGTGGTGGGCTCTGGGCTGCAGGGGTGCCCACTGGGGGCTGAGACTGAGGTCCAGAAGCAACTAGTGTGAGGCCCCGCCCCGCAAGGACAGGCTCGTGACCTCACGGGAGAGACCCGTCTCCCAGAAGCCCAGGAAGGCCCATCTAAAATGGCTTAGTCTCCCTCACGCTCCCTTGAGTCAGTCACGGGTGCTAGGGAGGTGGCAGCCAACAGGGCAGGGCCCTGTGCTCCAGGGCAATGGACCCTGCCTGGGGCCTGTCCGACGGCAGCCGCCAGCCTGCCTGCCCGCCCCAGCTCCCTCAGCAAGGCTCCCAGGGAGCAATTCGAGGCTGACCTCTCTGGCTCCTGCATTCGGGTGACCTCAGGGCACCACAGACGGCTGGGCCTTGCTCAGAGCAGCTCTCCAAACTAGCAGGAGGCTGCCACTGCGTCTCCCAGCCCAGGGGGCTGCCCTGAGGCCATCTCTCCGGAAGACTCCTGGGAGATTTTACCTGCTCCATTCCCAGCCCTGGCCCAGGGGCTTTAGCCTGATTGTCCACAGCTGTCCTGCGGGTCCCAGCATGGTGGGGGTGTGGAGGGACAGGCGCACGTGTAATGAGTTAATGAGTGGTAGATTGCCATGCTCCTCCGTGGGGAGGGACTGATGTCTCCAGGAACTGCCAGGCCACCTCCCTGCCCCTCTCCCCAGAGGCTGGGCTCCTTCCCGAGACCCTCTGGGGCCTCTTCCAGCCTGGGGCCCGTCCTAACGGAGCCCGGCTGTGCCCGCTGGAGCTGTTTACTGGGGCACTTGCCAGTTCTTCGCTGGGGCTGTTTCTTCAGCCAACCAAGGACATTTTTCTTTCTCCAGCTGGGAACCTCCCCAGGCTCCAGCGATGGCAGTTTGTAACTTAGAACTCAGCAGAACTGAACGTAGTTCCCCCCCCCCCCAATCCTGGACCACCTCCTTCGGAATCCAGGACCCTGACTAGGTGGGCTAGTCAGCTAGGTGACCTCTGGCCTGGGCTAGCGGCTCTGTGCTCTCCAGGGGAACAAGCAAGCCCAGGAGGGCACAGGGTCTGGCTGTCCCCTCCACAGGGGGTCCAGACACAGGGAAGCAGAGGCGGCTGCTGAGGGTGGCCAGTTAGACTCTCGACCCTCAGAGCCCTCTCCCTCCCTCCCAGCCCCATACTTAGAATTTAGGCAGGAGGAATGACCACACCTGGTGCCTGGAAGGGCTCTGGGGTGGGAGTCAGGGACCTGAGTGACCAGCCACCTCGGCGTCCCTCCTCTGGCCTGTTTCCCCGCTGTGAACAGCCTCTTCCCTCCTGGGCTCGAGGCTGTCATGAGGCTCGAGAGGAACCCTCCATGGAAGGTGGCTGGTCCTACACGCAGGAAGTCCAGGGAGAAAGATCTCGGGGTCGACTTCTAGAAGCTGCATTCCAGGGCAAACACAGACACTTGTCTCAGCCTGAGCGGGAGTTGGAGGACCTGCAGGCGTCACACGCAGAGGGACGTGGGCGTGGGGGGCCCATGGGGAGCAGCCGGAGTGGCGCTCTGGGTCCCTTCGGCATTCACACAGGCCTCCTCCCACTGCAGATGATGATGCAGTACCTGTACCACGGAGGGACGGAATCCATGGACATCCCTACGGCCGACATCCTGGAGGTGAGGCCTGGCCGGTGTGGCTGGGCACGGGGCCCACCTGTCCGCGTCGCCCCCTTCCCCCTGCCTGTCTCTCGAGCCCGAGACACCTGCCGGGTCTCAACGTGCTTTCTGAGAGACAGAGAAGAAGGCAGCCTCTGAGGACCTGGTGGTTCCCTGCTGCGCCCTTTTCTTTGGGTGACAGGAAGGGCCACTCTGAGGGGCTGGGGAACGGCGCAACTAGAGAGCCCGACCCGGCCACACGCAGGGGTCAGAAAGGGACTCCCCAGTGGGAATGGAGGCCCAGGAGGCTCGGAAGACACGGGGCCTCCCCTTCACCTATGCACAGCTCAGGAAACGGACCTGCTGCTGCCTGGGCACCCGGCCAGGGGTCCGTAGACAAAGCGTGTAGCTTAGAGTCGAAGACTTCCTGAGGTCAGACACCCCAGCCTACATCTGTCCCCCATCCTGTGCCGCCGGGGAGTCCCAGCAAATGCTGAGTGGGCCTAGACTGGCCCTGCCGCCGCGGGTGGGCCCCGAGGGCGGGAAGCAGCAGGGTACGCACCGTCCCCAAGGCTGCCTTCGCCTTCGCCTCCGCCAGCTGCTGTCGGCCGCCAGCCTGTTCCAGCTGGACGCCCTGCAGAGGCACTGCGAGATCCTGTGCTCCCAGGCCCTCAGCGTGGAGAGCGCCGTGAGCACCTACAAGTACGCCAAGGTGAGGACCGCAGGGGCCCCGGCTTGGGGGTGCCACCAGGCTCGGGGCCTGGGCAGATGGCTGATAGGCCCGAGTCCAGTCCACAGCCCGTTCTCTGTCACTGTCACCGTCCCTGTCTCAGCAGTGGCATGAGCACCCGCTCAGATCCAGTTACATGGGACTTTTCCAGAAGAAGCTCCCACGTCTGGGCCACTTCCCTCCACCGCCACGGTCCCCACCTGCCCGGCCGCCGGGCCTCCCCCCATGGCCTGGCTCTCTCCCTGTCCAAAGCCTCCTTGGAAAGTGGGAAACCACCTCCCTCCTCTCCTTGAACCCTCCGCGGGTTTCCACCGCCTCCGGACTGAATAAAGCCCCTCCTGTACGCTACCGGCCCAGGCCCTGCCCTCATCTCTTCCTCCGGGGGCTCCTTCCGGCTGCTCCAACCTGCTGGTTTCCCCAGGCCGCCCGGTCACCTGCGCCTCGTCCCTCCCAGCACTGACCACTGGGCGGTCACCTTGCTTGTTTGGGTCCTTAGCTTCCCTGTCTCCCCCAAACTAGGACATTGGCTCTGAGCGTGACCTCAGAACCGCACCCAGAGGAGTCGCTCGGTGTCCGAGGAGATGGTCACTGAGCGTGTGCCCCGGGCACACCTGTGCCGGCCGCTGCGCACCTGGCAGTGGACAGTCCCTGGGAGCGTCCCGTCCCATGGGGATAACTGCCTTTCTTTTTTTTTTCTTTTCTTTATTGATTTGAGAGAGAGGAAGGGAAAGGGAGAGAGAAACACCGATGAGAGAGAACATCGACTGGCTGCCTCCCGCATGCCCCCCACTGGGGACTGTGCCCACAACCTGGGCATGTGCCCTGACCAGGAATTGAACCTGCAACCCCTTGGTGCCTGGGTCCCGCTCAGCCACTGAGCCACAGCAGCCGGGCAGATAACCGCCTTTCAGCAGACCCCCCCCACGGGACTCAGGCGCAGCTGGGATTAGATAGGGGGGTCGCTGAAGCTGCAGAGACAGGGCATGCGTGCCTCCCCCGCCTCGGCCTGTGGGTCTCACCCTTCTCCCCCCCCCCCCCCCCAGATCCACAACGCCCCGGAACTGGCCCTGTTCTGTGAGGGCTTCTTCCTCAAGCACATGAAGGCCCTGCTCGAGCAGGACTCCTTCCGGCAGCTCATCTACAGCCGCAGCAGCAAAGTGCAGGGCCTGGACCCGCTGCAGGACCTGCAGAGCACCCTGGCCGAGCGCGTGCACTCTGTCTACATCACCTCCCGCGTGTGAGGCGGCGGGGCAGCTGCTGAGCACCCGCCCCTCCGGGCCAGGGCTGTCTCCAGGCACCTCGGGGTGGGAAAGGCTGGGAGCAGGTGCTTCGGGGCGTCTGGACCACTGCGTAGCCAGGGCCCCGCTGGGCAGGGCTGGTTCTAGGACCTCTTGGAGCCAGACACCGGGGCTGTTTCTCCCCCTCCCCAGACATCCTCTAGGTCAGTCTGTCCTTGGGAGTCAGATGTGCCCTGAGCCCACCTGTCACTGGGCAGCCCCACCCTCCTCCACCCCTTTTGCCAGAGCAGTTCACTCAACCAGTAATGGGCAAAGGGTAGCTGTAGGCAAAGGTGGCCCTCCCCTCCTCCACTATGTGCACCCTGAGAGCCACTGGGTACTCACCCTGTGCGCCCCTCCTCCCCTGAGGTCAGCAGCTGACCCCGACTCTACCCTAATCAGCTTCCAGTGATGCTCCCATTTCCCGGGCCTTCGTGAGCTCAGACTGTCCCAGCTGGGCTCAGGGCACCCTATGAAAGTGTAGAATGTATACTGCCTGGGCCCCAGGCCATTTCATTCCAAAGGTAGTGTTTGTCCTCAGTGTCAAATCTCTGAGCTGACTCTTCCGAGTCGTGCCTTTGAAGGCTTGCCGGGGCCTCCAGGGGCCTGGGGACGCCTGCGCAGTCACTGTGAGTTCCACTGTCTTTGGTATCTGGGCCTAGAGAGCCTCCTTTGGGGACCACCAACCTGCTCCGTTGGTGGTGAAGGCAGCTCTCCAGGTGGCAGGGGTGCATGCAGGGGCCTGGCGGCCTCAGCTTTTGTTGCTGTTGGGTTTTGGGGCCAGTGTCAAGGGGTCGATTCTGATACCTTAGGCCTCGGGTCAGGCTGCCTCTGTGGGCTGGGGAGCAGGGCACACACTTCTCACGGGGACTTGGGGCTTGGGGAGCTAAGGGACAGGGCATCGTAGAGGGAAGGGCTGGGGAACAGGCAACATCTGCAGGCTCCAGGCTCCACTGGGGTGGAGACAGCGTCAGGCCTGAACACTGGTCATATCTATGGACCAGACACGGGGGGCGTTCCGGACAGCTGACTCTGGGTGTAGCCTTCCTGAGCTGTCTGGCTGCACCTTAGAAACTATTTATTCACCAAAAGTCCTGGGCACCTCAGGTGGTGTCACTTTGGTCACCTTGAAAAGCCCCTGGGGGCTTGCAATCCTGGAAAATATTTTCAACTGGCTGCTTGAGCTGGATGTACAAAGGAAGAGGTGTTATTTTATTGCTGTAATATTGTATGATACTGTAACTATACATTAATGTCACTTATTGTAAATGTACTATGGTTTTATTAACAATAAATACTCGTTAACAATGACCTTGGCCTTGTTGCTTCTGGCCGAGTTGCTCAGAGGTCAGAGCTGGCTCCCTGGGGGCTCCTGTCCCAAAGAAAGGAAGGGACCCCCCCTCCCCCACCAAAAGGTATGCTGTGGCCACTCCCTGCGCCTCACCCAGGACCTGAGCCCTGGTCCGACCCTCGCCAAGCCCGTGGCAGGGAGCAAGAGCTTCGCTTGCTGGGCCTGTGCCTGCCTCTTCTGTCCCACGAGGTAGCTGATCGTATGACGTAATAGTTCCCATTTGTTAAGCACTGTGACCATTAGGCTGGACAGAAAAGGTGTCTGCATGGAGGGACCAGGGCCTGATGCAGGAATAAGACACCTGTCACGGGTTTAGGGGATTTTCTGATCTTCCCTGAGCCCAGACCCCTCGTCCCAGCCCTAAGGTGGGAGCTGTTGTTGGGAATAACCTTAACAGTTGTTTGCAAACTCGTGCATAGTCCAAACCTGTGTGGCCCAGTGAGTGGGGCAGGGCTGTCTCCATCCAGCTCTGGCCTGATGACGAGGCACCTGTCCCTTGGTGGCTGCTGCCTCCGGAACCTGCGGTGCCACCTGGTAATGGAGGGAGGACAGCGAGCCAGTGACTCAGGCCCAAGGGTTTTCCAGACCAGTTATAGTTTGTTCCAGGTGCAGAGTCCAGGGGTTCCCGCCTGTAGACGAGAGGAAAAGAAATTGCTAAGGTCACTGGGAATACTGACCTAGTGGCTGTGGGAACTGGGGGAAACGAAGACCTCATGGGGTCTGGACAAGAGAAGGCCTGTAGCCCAGCTTTGCTGGGTGGGGCCCAGGTGGGGCAGCTAGAGGCCCAGCCTGGGGCCCTGGCCATGGTGGGGGGGGGGGGGGCCTGAATGGACACATGGCGCCCTCTGGGGGACAGAGGGAGGAGGTGCACCCAGTAGCACCACTGTCCTAGCAGAGGCCCTGTGAGGGGAGTTTGAGGGGTTGCCCCTCCCCAGCTGCAGGAGCTACCCTCGGGGGTCTGTGTCCACCCTCCCCACAAGTCCCCCCACCTCTACAGGAGGCCTGTCAACTCCCCAGCCTAAATGGCAAGATCCAGTTGCAAGCTGGCTCTGGACTGAGCTCAGCCATTCCCTTTCCTCTTCTGGAGGGAAGGGCAGGTTAAAGGGAGGGTGAGAGACGGCGGGACCCTTCGAGTCTGCTCGGAGCAGGAACACAGTCTTGCAAAAGCACTTAAAATAATAACTAGGCCCTGGCCGGTTTGGCTCAGCAGTTAGAGCGTCGGCCTGCGGTCCAGAGAGACCCGGGTTTGGTTCCCGCTGAGGGCGCGTACCTCGGTTGCAGTTTGTCCCCGGCCCTGGTCGGTTGTGCGGGTGGCGGCCACTCGATGTGTCCCTTTCACATCGATGATTCTCTCTCTCTCTCTGTTCCTCTCTCTCCCTCCCACTCTACCTGAACAAAAAATGGAAAAATGTCCTGGGGTGAGGATAAAAAAAAATAATAATAACTAGAAAGAACTGACATTCTTCCAAGGGGCTAGGAAACTACAACGGAAATAGGGGTGCTCATCTTACCTCATCCTGGCCGCCAGGCCTCCTCGGGGTCACTGCTCCGGAGCATGGGGACCAGGCACCCTCCGGCTGCCCGCGTCAAGCCATCAGCAGCAAGAGGCAGACTTGGGGAAGGAGAGGAAACCTCTCTAGCAGGAGTCCCTGGGCAACGGGGCCTGGAAGCCACTGGAGGGACTTCCTTCTACTCCCGCTGTCCCGGGGCAACGGTGAGCCTGTGCTTATGCTGCTGGGCCAGGGCCTCCTCTCCCGAGGGAACCCCCACAGTCCAGCCGGGGCCCCAAGGCTAACACTGAGACTGCCCCCCTCCCGGGGGCCTGGCCCCCACTTCCCTGCTCCCAGCGCCTCCTTTCCTCCCTGCTGCCTGATGCCTGCTGGTGCCAGGACCCTGTCAGCTCCCCCTAGAGCCACCTCAACCCCTGCAAAGCCTCCCCCCCCCCCCCCCCCCCCAGAGAACACACATTTTAACTAACCATTGTGCACAGAATGAGCACACCCCTTCCCCCTTGCTCGGCTGAAGTCTGAACCACACTCAGGCCTGAGGGGATGCCAGCCCCACCCCCTCCCCAGGCCCGAGGGCTGGTGTAATGGCCTCAGATAATGAGTCTACATTTTTCCAAGTGACAGTCACTTATTTCCTCCCCTCCCCCAGCCTCAGCCCCCTTTGTGCCGGCTGCTGGTCACTCGGAGCCCTCTGGGACCTGGGCACGAGCAGTGGGGAGCGAAGCAGGCCAGCGTCAGCCCCCGGCCAGAGCAGACCACGGAGGACTCGCCTTTGTTCGGTCCTCAGCCCCTTCCCGTCCGGTGACAGCATTCACAGCCGGCCTACCGAATTCATTTCGCAGGAGATCCTGGTCAGGCGAGCTTTACAGATGTCCCTGTCTGGGGCAGATGGCGAGGCCCGGGGCAGGCGTGCGTTCTCAGGTCCGGAGAACCCAAGATCAGCCCCGTGCAGGGCAGAGGCCTGCTCAGGAGCATTCGCTTTACGAATCCAAAAACCAGGATGTGCGGTGGGCACGATATTCACCCGCTCTGTGTGCAAAGGGGAGCCTCTCCGAGGCCGGAGGATGCACAGCCGGGCAGGTGACTGCGAGGCGCGTGCCCCCTGGGGCCCAGAGGGCCTCCTCTCCTGGCTCAGGCTGTGGGTTCGGACAGGTGGGGACAGGTGGTCCTCACTCGCAGGTCAGCACGGCGGTCACCGCAGCCCCGTCAGCGCTGCGCACAGAACTCAGCCTTGCTGGGGGGGCTTGCTGACGCCGGGCAGTTCCCAGCCCCCCCGGCCCTGAGCCAGCGCTGGGACCTGCACTTTACAGATGTGGGCCTGGCGGCAGGGAGAGGGAGGTGTGTGCCAAGGTCACAGTGAGGGGCAGGGCACCCTGGGGCCAAGCAGAGGACGCCGGTGGGATGTGGACGTGGCTGGAGTTTCAGGTACCACCCAGCTCTGCCCACTTGGGATTCTGACTCGCTTTTGGCCTCTCCTCGGATGACCTCTGAAAAGCAGGCTCAGACACTGAGGAACAGAAATCCCGTTCCTTTCCTTTCTCGGGACTCCCTGCAGACAGGGGTCCTCAGGCAGGGAGTGCAGCGCCAGGAGACGGGCACGGGGACAGTGGGTGCGCGGTCAACCCGGGAACTGGCTGCCGGCTAAGGAGAGCACCTGTTCCGACTCGCAGACCAGCCCTCGCAGAGTCCAGGGGAAACGAGTCGGGAACCAAGGCCACGTGGGCTGTCCAGGTCCAGGACCAGAGCAGGAGGCCAGCAGCGGGGAGCTGTCGCCCGCGCTGTGGCGGGAGGGGGCAGGCTGGAGGAAAGTGGCCAGCTGACCCCACCTGAGCTCTCCGGGCCTGCGACATGGAGAAGAAACACCCAGAGGACCTCCCGGGGCGAGGGTCCAACAACACACATGGGCCTGGGACGGAAGGCAGACACCGTCACACGAACATACCCAAGTATGTGTGAAGCCACGACTTCATCTGTCCCCAGCGGAGGGGAGGGACCAAACCACCTGAGAGGGGAAGGGAGGAAGAGGCCCAGCGAGCGCCAGCCAGTGCCGGCCACTCCCACGCTCCCGGCTGTCAGCGCAGCCGCCCTGCCCACCTCGGCTCGACTCCAGCGCCTCCCACGCCCACCCGGCAGCCACCAGAAGAAACAGGGCAAGATGCAGCTTCCGCCTGTGTGGAGTCAAGGAGCACCCACAGGCGCTGGTCTTTCTAGGATGTTTTTTATTAAAAATAGAGCCTCTCTCTCTCTCTCTCCCCCTTGCTAGTGGAGGGGTAGTTCCCAAAACTCTTTTCCCAAATGGATGAAATCAGTTTTGGGGGACTCGAGTGTCCTATCCTTCCTAAGTGAGAAGGTCGCGCTTCTCTGGGACGCTGGGCCGGCTGCTGGAGCCGGGAGTGGAGCGGTGCACAGCCGTGCAAACCCCACGGCTGCTCCAGGCCTCGGGCGTTCGGACAAGTCCGTGACGAGAGGCCCCACAGCCCACCAGCAGCCTCCTGGGCATCACCAGACAGCAGTGTCCTCAACACCTAAGAAGGGCCCGATCAGCGTGGCTTCCACGCGTGCGGGACAGAATGGACTAGCTGGGCCCAACACAAGCCGTGGGGAAAGGAAGGCCAGGCCTGAGGGAGGAGGCAGACCTGGCGGGGCCAGCGGTGTCCAGCCGGCGAGGCCAAGCAGACCCATTCAGAGTGACGGCTCTGAGCCAAGCTGGGTGCCTACGCGGACTCCCAGGCCAGCGTCCAGTCCGATGGGCTCACGTCGCTTTTAACAGTGCGGGTGCAGGCCACCGCCCATCAAGAGACAGCTCGGAGCCCGGCGTCTCCTCCCGAGTCGGCTGCTGGCGGCCAGGCTTCTCCTCACTATTTCTTCCGCTTCAGTTTCATTTCCTTTTTGTGCTTCGTATCTCTATTTTTCTTGAACTTTTTGTTCTGCTTGGGTTCTTGTTTGGCTTCTAGTTTCCTTTTCTTGTCACTGGAGGGGAAAGAAACAGCAGCAGAAAGAGAACGGGTAAGAGGCGCGCAGATCTGGCATCTCAGACGGCTGCGCTGACAAGGGCCTCCGGCGTCGGACACAGCGCGAGGACGCCCAGCCAGACACACATGTTCTCTGCCGCCCGCTGCGCTGGGGGCTGGGCACCGCACAGAACCCAGTTCCTGCCCGGACTGAGCTCTGGGTCTATGGAGGAACTAATCACCTTTTTAAAATTGATTTTTACAGAGAGGAAAGGGGGAGGGGACATGGATTAGCTGCCTCCCGTACACGCCCTGACCAGGAATCGAACCCACAACCTCTGGTGTATGGGATACTCCAAGCAACGGAACCCCCAGCAGCCAGGGCACAAATCCACATCGTAACATCGGAAGTCTGAGTTCTCTTCCGAGTCCCGTTCGCCCCCCTCTCCCAAGGCCCCAGGTCAAGTCGAAGGCATCCCCACCT